TGCCCAGGCTTTGTAGATGGTTCTGTGATCTCTGCTGGAGCAGCGGCTGGAGCTGTCTGCGATGGAAGATTCTTCATGGCTGCTCTGGAGAGTATGGTCACTGTCTCAGCCCGCCGCAGGTCAAGAGCTTTTTTCCTTTCTTTACTCGGCAGTCTCTGGTGAATTCAGTCACAGCAAAAACTGCAGCCGAGCCAGGGAGCGGCCTGGCCCGGCCAAGAGCCCGGGGCAAGCCCCGCAGGCCCCATCTCCCGGCTGGGAGCCGCAGCAGGCCCAGCCCAGCCCCCGCCCCACGGGGCCACACGGCCTGGGCAGGGGAACGGGAGGCCTGGAGCTCAGTTACCTTTCACAGCCAGGAAACAAAGAGACAAAGAAATTCCCAGGCTTAGATCTTAAGGTGGTGTTCACAGGTTGATCTCATTTTCCAATGGTTAAAACTGCTGTCAATTCTTAGAAATGGCCAGCTGTTGGCTAGGAGAAAAACTCCCATCAGCCTCCAGCAGTTTTAACTTCCTTAGGTGTTTCTCTTTGTTTTCTTAAATGCCAATCTATCACAGTGGCCCTAATTTTCTGAGTTTTCAAACATTGCAGGAAACACAGCTGTATTGAAAGTTAATATACTTATGACTGTGTTGAACTTTGTCTCTATAAAATCCACTGCTGTTCACTGCTGCTGTAGTGTAGTTCCATTCATCTTCCATGGTGGTGTTGGAATCTGAGATACAGTGTGTGGCCTTGTTTCTGATACTTAGTTCTAAGATCCAGAAAAACATTGAATTTCATATAATGTGAAATTAATGAGCATGTTTTCACGGTGATACATGAGAACAACTGTTAAAGTTAGATAGAAAAAGCTGAAAGTGTAAGTGTGTAGATTACAGAGTTTTCTTAAGTCACTGGGTGAAAAAGGTAGTTTAGAGACCAGAAGACAAGATGGGGGATTTAGGGTGTTGTCCCTTGTCCTTCTTCTTTCTTCATGTTCTTCTTCTAAAGGTTTTTAGGTAATAGTAAGTGATTGGGTAGAAAATGCTGCAGTGCAGCACATAGACGATGGGTCATTGGGTCATTAAGAAAAATAATATACATGTCTATTGTTAATTGGGTAAAAATAAGTATAAAGATAAAAGAGCGGCATTTTTCAGGGCCATTTTGTGCTATCAAACACAAAATGAGCCACAAGGCCTTGTTGTACCATCAGAAGAAAGAAATGTACCAGACTGCAGTGATTTAAACTTGTGCAGCCATTCTGGAGAGACCTGCCAAGTTTTGTGATGACCTTCTAATAAACACGAGAAACAAGATTCTAACGAGCTCCGGAGTTTTCTTCAAACCAGAGAACTAAGATAAGCAGGGGTCCCCACAAGGGAAGATCCCAAAAGAATTCAGTCCAAAGGAGACTGAGAAATCCAGGAAGAGAAAGAAAAATGCAGAAGAAATGCAGCAGAATCAGAGAAACAGAAAAAGGTTTTTTTAGAGAAAAGTTACAGGTGGTTTTGAACAACAATAAAAAACTATTGAACTTCCAGTGTCTTGTGTGCCATGTCTTCCAGTCTCTTCTAAAATCTCTTTCCATAGCAACAGACTTTTTCCCCAGCCAAGGATTAAAACGGTTAAACGTACCTCTGTTAGATATGAAACAGCCTTTGGTGAGCTATAGACCTGATTAGAAATAGAATTAAGAGGAGTTAGATTGGCAGAATGCCTGCCAGTGAACTATGGAGGGGATATCATTAAAGACACACTTTTGCTGTGGTTTATGTTCCTCTGAAGTCGATTCCCTTTTAAATTGCTTTTGCCACTATGAGAAAGCTAGCAGGGTTTTTCACCAAAAGGACCAGGACAGAGCTGCAGAGAGGTTAATCAGTCTTCATGAGTGACAGACAGACAACAGGAGAGTTTTCTACTAGTCATTTTCTCTCCTCCTGGAAGTGTTATTCTGAAGCTGTTTGCATCCCCTCACCCTGTGCCTTCTCCCACCTCCCAAAAAAGTTAGTGCCACCACTCATGTGACTGTCACCAGCATTCACATGGACACACAGAATTTACTGAAGTGAGCTCCCACCAGCCTCATACCAGATCTCTGAAGCTGCATATTTCTTCATTCATATGGCAAACTCCTGGCAAATTTATCTACACAAATCAATCCGACTCTATCTAGAAATTTGATCTACAAAACTGTAATGTTTTATGTCTGCAATCATCACAAGTTTTCCTTTCCTTTTGCCTCAAATGATTTTTGAAGACCTTCAAGGTCCAAGTGGAATGAGACACTGAATTCTACAATTTGGTTCCTGCAGATTGTAGAAATGTCTTTTTCTTTTAATTCTGTCTGCTAAGCTAAAGATGCAAAAGATATCAAGTTGCATTGGGGCATTCTTCTACAAGAGAAACTATTCAGTAATCAGTAGATGAGAAGGTGGTTTCCTATGATAGTTCCCATTTAAAAGCCTTTTGGACTCTTTTAACATTTTGTTGTGTGAAACAGATCCTTCAGCTTCACTGCAGTGTCATATATCTTCTCCAGAACACGTTTTCAGAGGATCTTCTGATCCTGACTACACCAATACCAGAAACCAGTATACATATAGACATGACCCTCTGATCATGGCCTCCAGTCAGAGACCCCCACTAGGGAGGAGGAGGCAAACAAAAGTGAGCACACCGAAACCATTAAGCAAAGCAAAGTGAAACATGCATCAACTAGACTTACACAATTGCATGTATTCCTCTCACAGGACAGAAGAAATTGTGCAGGACAGTAGAAAGAAGGAACAGTGGGCAAGCAGTTGATGGACAGAGGCAGTGCTGGGAATTACATGAGCAAGGTGATTTGATTCAGGCCTTTCATCTACACGCCTGTGGGAGGTAGGGTACCACAAGATTGAGTAAGAAAGCACTGCCAGCCCTGAAAAATACAGGATAGGGCTCAGAATACTATTCTCTCCCCCCAGTCAACACATTAGCAATGCAAATTCTTCCTTGGAAAAAATAAATCAAGAAAGCATAGAGCTAGGTAGTGAAAAATGAGTATTCCAAACCCAAGCAATGCCTCCTTTTTTTTTAGATTTTCTTCCTTTCCCTCCAAATTATATGACATTAGGGAGTTAAGATGAGATAACCATTCTGCAAAATGTCTGTTAGGTTCTTTGTAACCCAACATTTTATTGAAAATTATAATCCTGTCCATTTTTCCCATACTTGTACCAGAAAACATCTGGAGTAGCCTCCAGAACCTAGCTGACACAAGATGAGTTCTTGAATAGCTCAGTACTGAATGGAAACTGATAGAAAGCAACAGCTATTGTCAAAAGGTGACTGCAGTGTTCTGAGAGATATCTTATGATTCAGTGGCCAACAATTTGTAACAAATATAGCTTAGACTGCCTATCAGTAAAGAAATTGAGACCAGACAGACAAATTTTTAAACACATTTTACCAATGTCACCTGCTAATAGAAGAGAAATTATCGCAGACTCACACCTCTCTTCCTTGTATATTATTGCCAAGAAAATACAGACCAATCCAAAAAGTCCAGCAGGTAGCATGGTGTGGATCCATTTTCATGCACACTATAGCTCTCACTCAGAAGATGAAGTGCTTGGTTGAGGTCCAAGATCCATGCCAAAAGTGTTCTCCCTTCACAAGGGAGACAGTGTCGTACATTGTTCATTTCTGTTCATTTCTTTGTTTCACTATCCTGTGGTAAAATCCTTGACCCAATGAAGTCATTACAACCTTTGCCAAGGATTTTAATCTTGCCCTACATTAAGTATCTACTTATAACCATGGGAAGCTTTCTTGTGCAAGGACAGAGCACTCCCAAAGTGCCATCTAAGGCTGAAATAATTCCCTAAGGAACTGGGAATCATCACAAATCTCATTACCTTCTTGTACAGGGCACTTTGAATTTGCTCTCTGTAACATGAATAGCAACACATTTTAAAACAAAACACATTTGAACATAATGAACATTCAAAACAAAAGTTAAGGCAGTGAAGCCTTAGTAAAGCCAATGGCAATACCAGGTAGTGCTGCAGTAAAATTCATAATAAAAAATTTTTTAAAAATTAAGAAGAATACACTTCTCCTATTGTAAAAAAAACCAAACCTCCCCATTTTGGAAGGGCTTTTAATCTCAAACAAGCTACATGGAGCAGCGACTTTACAGTTGACAAAGACTTTGAAGCAGCAAAACCCTGCTGCATGTGATGAGATGCAGGACAAAATGGTGATGCAAAAATAGAAGGATAAATATAGCTAAATGTGCCTTGCAGAACACAGAAAGCTGAGGCAGGTGTTGTCATAGCTGTCAGCTTTCAGGTTCCTTCTTTCTTCAATTTTTTCAAATCATATCTTGGTTCTTCCATAAAAAACATGGAAAAGGACCAGATATGAGACTTCTGGATTTAAATCTGTAATTCCAAGTGTTTTGAAAAGCTGTCTAAAACTGTTGGATACCTGTTAAAAAGAAAAATAAACTTCAACCCAATAATCTTGATTTTTGTTTTAAAACTTTGTTTCTGAGAAATTAGAAAAGACATAAAGTGTTTCTAGAGGAAAAAATAATAGTTTTAAAATATTAAAGCCTCAGATAACACGCATAAAAATACAATTAAATATTTTATAGAAGCTGAAGTACTTCTTACTTGTAAACAAGTAAACTAGAAGAAATTGTAACATGAGAATGCAGAGTTTGCAGTTCTTAACTGAGGGTCAAAAGTATCCCAAGTTGTGTCACTTCTGTGACACAGTCCGAAATGAGAAAATCCCCACCACTGTGAGACTGTTACAAAAATAGCCAGCACTGGCAAGGGAGCATCAACTGACTTCAGTAAAGGAGGGAAATACTGGCAAGCTCAGACCTTGACCTCTAGCAGTGATATTCCTGTTTCAAGACTTGGAGGTCTACACACATATCCACCTATTTCTGTCGGAGTCTACCCTTGCTGCAATCTATCCCTGGGCAGAGAGCCAGTGCAAAATCTCTCCAGCACAGAAGCCCCACTTGAGCCATGGATTTAACAGGAACATAATGAAGGGAGTGGCTGAAAATAACCTGCCCTTACAAGGCAATCACATTTCAGGATTCCCAGGCCATAGGGAAAAAGCATCTGTAAACAGCAGGGTCTCTGGGTCCTGCCTTTCCCATCACCTTCTTCTCCTTGGAAAAGGAAACCTTGAGAAACTTCTGTGAAAGCAGCAGTCCCAATGTGGGAAAGAGAACTTTTAGTGGCTTTGCTCTCCCTTGAGCTGCCCCTCTATGTCTATGCCAACTGTAGGCGAGCAGTGGAGCGCACTTTTTCCCAGTTCTGTACAACGTGAGAGCAGGAGAATGTGTGCTCCAGGAGCCTCTTTGCAGACGGTGAGCTTTTTTCTTTATGCCTTCGTCTTTTCTGCTAGCTCGTAATCTGCCCCCTAGCTTCCCTGGGGCCAAGGGGAAGAGGATGATCTTTATATAGCTGTCCTCGGGGACTGGGTGAATCACAGAGTAACATCTAATCCCTCTTGCACTCGGCAACTGTATAACATCCCAGCTGAATATCAAGCCAGGGAAAATAAGCCGAAGTTTTACGTACAAAAAAAAAGTCAGGGAGAGATACCACAAGCACAAGTTAGAGGAGTTATCAGTTTCCAACATAAAACTCAAACTGAAAAATTAAACAAAGGGAAAACAAGCACGAACCAGGGAGGGCGCAGAAACCACCTAGAAAGGCCAAGATATCATGCTCTTTATCTCGGCACTTAATTTTTCATAAGTTTTTGAAAAATAATATTCAGTAGTCATTAGGTGAATTTATTGTATTTATTTTTTTAAATTTTTTTTTGGTTTTTACTTCTTTTAATGGAGAGGGAAAGGAGCCATGTTTTTGTAAAAGCTTGGCCACCATGTTTGGTATCTCAGCTGTATATCATGCACTGTTTGTCATTTCACGCCACTTAGAACAAATCCCATCTGGCTGGAATCCTAGTCCTGTGGACTGTGAGTCATGGATATTAAATGACCATCATGTGAGCTCCTGCATGCTGCTGTGTTTAGTGTGTGGCACTGTAAAGTTGTACAGTATCTCATCACAGAAGATCACCAGCATGCATACACAATTTGAGCGGGAGCGCTTCCATAACAACACAAATTATTTGTTTTAGCAAGAGGCAAGAAAGAGGTAAAGATGCATGAAGCTGAAGCAAAGGTACAGCTTTTAAGTGATTTTTTGAAGACCTGTAAGCCACAGAAAATCAGTTGCTGGTTCTGTAGCAGCAAATCTGGGGCAAGAATGGAAAAGGTACTGTCCGTAGTGGAAGGGTATGCAAGAACTTTTAAATCTGCTCAAGGGAATCCTGTAGCAGTCTTTTTGATTCATAATTATAATCCAGTCCAGTCCCACCCGGGATATCCAGTATCCTACCCAGGATAAGGAAATGAAGACAGGCATTTAAGTATTTTTTTCATAAGAACCAGTACAAATTTTGGGATTGTCTAAAATACCAGTCCCAATTCAGAATTTTAAAACAAGCAATGAGATCTATTTCACTGTTGTGATATGGACAATCCTTGAAGTGGATGGTTTTAGTCTAGCAGAAGCCCAAATTAGAAGATTTACTCAGCAGTCCATTTCACGTTAATAACATGCAGGAAATCTGTACTACAAATCAGACTGGACTGTTTTTCCCTAGTGCTAGGGGAAAACATTATTTTCAAAGAATACCAATTCATACCTGGATTAGGTAGGTTTATTCCATCCTGGTTATGAGCCGGGTAATTTCCTGCCATCGGTGATAAAATGAAAATCCATTTTAGACAACATACAGGAAAACCCTGTAAGAGCTGGATGTGAAAGCCCATTTCCATCTTCATTAGCATGGGTAAATCATTCAGGCTAGAAACTGTTGTTATCCAGTCCAAAGCGTTATCCAGTTGCCTTCTGCAGGTTACTATGAGATCATGTACTGCTATCAAAGGTTCTTAGGAGTCTATAATGTTTCAGCTTTCAGTCACGGCTCCAAAAAAACTACTTCTCTTGCTGCTGGTTCCAGCCTAGGTCTGTTTTACTGTCTTCACATGTGTTTTTCTTCCTGGTAGCAGCTACCAGCTTCTTCCCACTATCCCAGCAGTTTCTTCTACCTTTGCTTATGTTTCTACCACGTCATAGCAGTGTAGTTAGCTCTCCTTAGGTCAGCAAAGCCAGGCATTCATAGCTTGCGCTTTCTAACATTTTTTAAGAACTGAGTCTTTTAAAATGTATTATATTTCTTGAATTAAGCATCAAAAACTTTGCATTTGAAGTCTGTTCATGGGCCAAAAAAGACAGTTAAAACACACTACTGATTTTTTGTACAGAAGCCCAGGGTTTTACAGAAAGAAATATGACTTGAATCAAATGAGGAAAATTTATTCACATTGATCCAGACTTAATCAAAATCACCATTATAAAGACATCATCATGTTATATGAGAGGAAGATTAAAACTGTTAATACACTGAACTCAAGTTACTGTGACTGTCAGAGAGAAGTCAAACACTATGTTGGGTAGTGTTAATAAAAACAGCATGTTAAATATACAGCTATGTAACTACATCTATCTCCAATCAATCTTCCTTGACTTTTTTTTCTATTCCTTTATTGATATGGGGAAAATTTTAAAAATGCTGTTGAATTTGAAAGAGTTTAAGAGAAAACATTTTCAAACATGGAGCTTTCATGGAAAGGAAAGACCAGGAGGAAGCAGGATTATTCACGGACATATGAATGGATATCAGATAAAAGATAAATCAGTCTTATCAACCCACTGGGAAGACCAGGAAGTAATCAAATAAAACATTAACAAGGGAAAAAGCAGATTAAAAATTTGAGAAAATTTCGTAACTATGTGAAGGCAAAATAAACCCAGATGCAAATGCAGAAACAAGATGCCAGGAAAAGCTATGAAATTAACTTCACAGGGGATATTCAAGATATTGGTCTGTGGGGAGTCACTTCAGCATAATGAAATCAGAGCTTTCAAGATGCAAAGACATGAACTGGGGAATCCACTCACTACCTTCTAACCCAAATCATCAGAAATAGCTTTGGTGAGCTAAACATTATGTTGTCACACATTGTTGCCATTTATTACAACCCAGTTTTCTTGAAATACATGGAACAGACAAGTATGCTGACAATGGCCTCGTAACCTGAATGTGACAGCAAGGCCAGACATGGGTATCTGACTAAAAGTCATTGCTATTTTTCCAGGTCAAATCTTTCTTTTAATTTAACCTGCTTTAGTGAAATTATTTCAAAACTGTTACTTGAAAACATACTGAGATAAATTTTCAAGGAATTTTAATGAATATATGTGCTTTGCTTTGTTTCTAGCAAAGATTAATGCTTTTGCATAAGGGTTGGAAGGCATTTTTACAGTCAGAGGAAAACAGAAGTCCCCGCTGCTCCCTCAAAGAGAGCACAGGCCTGTCAGCCTGATTCTGGTGTTTGGAAATAGAAATATTTTCTTCTTTTATTTACATAACTGTGATAACAATCTGCAAGCCAATGTACAACTAAAGTGTCTCCAGGAATTATACTGTTTGCAAGAAATGCTTTTTAAACTTATTATAATAGTGTACTCAAGAGCTTGAAATTTCCATGCCCACAGGGCAATATAGCACTACATTTGTGATTTGATGTCACAAGCATGTAGGCTTCAGTTTTAGAAATACTCTTCAAGAAAACATTTAATTTTTCTCTCCGGGGAAAACACTAAATCCTACCTCAGAAAACTGTACAGAAGGAAGGAAATTTGGTTTGAGATGGCCATGTTTTGGCTTCTAGTCATCAAAATCAAATCCCCTCCCATATGTATTCCAGCTTTGGCTTCATAGCCCTACTGCTCTGAACCTAAGCATTAAACCTAGAACATATTTTACCCTTTATACTATATTCTCATTTGTAACATTCCAGAGAGTTTTTCTTATTTTCCAGAATTCTGGAGGTCCATGATTACTTATGGTTTCTAAGGAAATAAGGTTTAGATGATCACAATCTGCCCACTCATACATTTCTCTTTCCTTCTCTCTTTTGAAAAAACAGAATATTTTTATTCACATTTGACTGGATGATGAAGATATCAAAGATAAAACACTTCTTTGGGTAAATGAAAAAGAACCAAGCTGATTCTGCCAAAGGAATCCAGCCACTGTGTGGCCAGAGATGGGAGCCAGGTGGCCAGTCAGCATGTGTGTATTGACACTGCAACCAACACCTTGCTAGGTTTTGCCCTTGTGCTGCCACTCACCCATCTGGTTAGGTAAAATTCCCTTCACAAAGCTGGGACATTAGAAATGACCCACTAAAAACCTGCTTCTCTTTTTGGAGAGTTGTGTGGATGGATCCCAGGCTCCGGAAGCACACTTCTGTGCAAGGTAAAACAGATCCCAGCAAAGCCAGAGTCACACAAGTGATGAGCCCTCAGGATTACCAAAACAGAGGCTGATATCCATAATTATCTCATATCCAGCATTATTGAGGTCCTGCACCAAATACTCACCCAGAGCACATGCAGGGGCGTGGCTCCAGTTCTCTGTTTCTCGGCCGGAATTCATCCTGGCGTGCTCAGCAAGGCACTGCTCAGACTGGACTGCAAGATAAAGATGTAAGTGTCCACAGAAGAGTCCTGCCCAGTGCTGGGCAGTTCAGCACAGTGGGAAGCCCACCCAGTGTACTGGGTAGCTGTGTGGTCAAACAGGCTGAGTGGTGGCCTTGTTGCCTCAGCTACCTTTGTTTAAAGGTAGTTCTGGTATGAATTGTCCTTGCTTCAAATGCATCCAGCTCATGATAAGGCTCAATACATGCACAAAATTTATTTGTACCTCATTCTGATCAGCCTCAGGTTGTGCTGGAGAAGGCTGAGACTGAATATTAGGAAAAACTTACTCATTGAGAGGGTGGAACAGGCTGCCAGGGAAGTGGTGGAATCCCGGTACCTGGAAGTGTTCAGAAATCATGTGCATATGGCCCTTAGACACACGACTTAGTTGTGGGCCGGGCAGTGTTAGATTGCTGCTTGGCCTTTTGCAACCTAAACAATTCTAGGACTGTGTGATTTCATAGGATCTAGAAGGATTGAAATCAGTTGAGCAAACATGAACAGAGAGCATTTACAGAACAAAATTCCAGAAGGCTTAAAACTCGTATCTAGCCAATTGCCTGATTAAAACAACACGGTATTTATGTTCACATTTTGCCCCATTAGGTTACAAACCACTGCAATTCTCACGTTTTACACACACAACATTGAAACACTATCTGCAGATACCCACATATGAACCCTTCAACTTCAGAGGAGATCACTTAGAGGACAAGAGCTGCCTAAGCAATTTCAGCCATCT